AGCTAGTTCAAAAATCCCAGATTCAAGTGTGTTTTGTTATTTTTGTATCTTTAGTTTGGTAGCTCCTAAATTTGTGAAATAAATATGGTTGTGTTCCTTAGGAAGTGTAGTATTTAAGAAAAATATGTTCTTGGTTTCAACAGTAGAAATTTCTGGAGATTTAAATAGGGATTTGAAATGTGCTTTTGAATGCATTCAAATTTGTTTAATTTATATCTAGAGTTCCTGTGCTCCAAAAATTATGAAATTTTTGTGGTAAGTTAGTCTTAGCATATATGAGCTCTGGTAAAAATTTGGGGACCAGTGCATGGGTAGATTTACAGTTATAGATTTTTCTTTTATGAATAGTCAATCCTTGCATAAATTTTTATAAATTATTTATGAGTCCAAAATTCATGAAATTTGTTGGAGGTAATCCTAGTGCCATGTGGATGCTAAGAAAAATATGAAATCTGTTGCTTGACACTTTTCAATAGGGTTTTCCATTTATGCTATTTCAAGCCTTGCTGCCTTGTCATTTTTGCATAGGAGGTTCTACTTGGTAAAATGACATGAAATATTTATAGTAGTCCTTGGATAGCATTAGTAAGGCACTGTAAAATTTTGAGAATTTATTAAGTACTTCTGATATATATTTATTATTTAACCTAGATATATAAATAAAATGATAAAGGCAATTAAATAAATAGTTTGGGATTTACCATTATATGATTCTAAATGTAATTGGTATGCTTAAACTGTTGGTGGATTCTATGTTGTCAAATTTTGAATGATTACATGAAGTAGAAGTATCGTTACTTTATATTGCATGTTGAATAGTTTCCGGACTGATTCTAGAGTTTGATGAGTTGCATGTTGAAAATGATGTGTACTGTAAAAATGGTTAATAACAAAGTTGTAGAGAATTTGATAAGCTTTCCAGAAAGTCCAGGATCACTGGATTTGGATTTGTAGAACTCCCGTTATGGGTGAAACAAGTAGCTGCTATTTTATGGTATAATCGATGCATTATGGAAGTAGATAATTAAATAACCGAGAAGAGATATGCACCTACTCAATAAACATGATGCACTTGTTAACATATATGCATTCGTAATACTTATGCCATATTCATGCATCTAGGATCGGAGGAAGAGATCACGTTGTTGGAATTCAAGAAGCGAGGAAGGAACCAAAGGGAGGATCCGCAAGTCAGCGACTCAAGGCGTGGAGCGTAACCCTCAAGAGCTTCCGGAGTGTCCCGACCACCGCCCTACTTCCTTTCTGCGAGGCAAGCCCGGGAGCATTTTAAGTCTCCCAGTAATTTACAAATGTTTACTTAAGTACTTATGATTGCTGCATTAGGTTATAAGAGTTGAATGAAACCACTTGATGCATGTACATTCCTTGTCCGGATATTACACCTTTAACCGGTATAGGTCCGAGGATCGAATATATGCTTAGCCATGCTTAGACCGGTAGAAGTCGGGTGATTTCTGTCACTACTGAGATATAGGTGGATACCGAGCACGGTTGGTTATAATTGCTATCGTGGAAAAGAACCATGATTAATGTAAATGGAGACCCAAGGCGGGATGTCGATAGAGAAGCAACAAGACATGGAGGTCTTGGGTGTGGATCTATCCCCGTCTGTGTCGATCAAGGACCGCACTGCTGTTGTTGGAACTTCCGACAAGATTGAACGCATGCCTCTCACTTAGTCGGCCGGATAATTCGCTTTACCGCTGGTTTAGTAATTCAACTCGGTAGGGAATCGCTCATTGTGCGCCCTTCCGGGAACGATCGATCGAGCCCAAGGGCGTGCTTGGCACGAGCATCCCGGCATCTGGTGTTCCAGTTAGCGGCGCGCAGTGATGCGGACCCACGAAATATGTACCGAGTTGTATCAAAGGTGACCTAAGGCTATCGTGGTCGTGGTAGACCTAGGTTTGTGTTAGGAATAAATTCCCACCGGTTGAAATCGATTCAATCGCCGCCTCTCTCCCGGTTAGTGAGAAACTTGGCTAGCTCCAACATCGTAGTAACTGTGTTATGGAACATGATGGTTCGGATGAAAAATGGAATTTCAATACCTGCTATGGTTACTATTGTATGCTTCTAAATGATATACCACATGTTTGGCACAGGATAGTGGATGATTTATTAATGGATAGTTATAATTAACTTGGTAAAGGAATCATAATTGTACAACGGATCAATTGCCTTTTTCGCAAAATGTTGTCAAGTTACGTCCACTTATACAGCCTTGCATAATCCTTGGAGTCATTTTATTTCTGGTTCATGACGGGTAAGTCTAGCTGAGTACCTTCTTGTACTCAGGGTTTATTTTCCCATTGTTACAGATGGCACTGTGTATCATGGTTATTGCCAGAGTTGCTTCTATCCCGCTGTGGATGAAGAGTAAGCCTTGAGCAGGCTTCTTTAGTAATTCCTATCCTTGCTTTTGTGGACCGTGATCTAGCTTGGCACTGTATCAAACTATGTTGGAACCTTTATATTCGAATTTTTTTGCTTCCGCTTTATTTATCAAACTCGGTTTGTAATAACTTTTATTCGTACTCTGATGATGAAAAGTATCTGGGAACTTTATGTAATTTGTGGCATGTATGTTGAATCTCGCATGCGATCTTGGTTGTTGTAAATCGTTTATCGAGACCCGTCGTGGTACTCGACGGACTACCGGGTTTATATGGGTTCAAGTATGCGGCAACTGACTGCTATGATTTGCCATTGTACTTGTATTCTTATAAATTTGTTGGTTCTGCGACACGGAGGTTCTGGCCGGAGGGGGCGCGCCGCCGTCTTGTCGACGCAATGGACGCATCGGGCGGCCAGTGATCGGGTCGCTTAGCAGCTGTTGCCTTTGTTTGCTATCGTTATGGCGCTGCTCGCTAGCTACCGCGGGCGGGCTAGCCGGCGTGGTCGGACGCGGCCGTGGCGACGCGGCGGCGGCAAAGGCAGCGCGGCGGGCGGTGACGACGCCTGTGTTATGTGGTCGCTCACGCTCATGAAGCGGCTTTGCTACTCGGGCAGCGGCCGCGGGCCCCCCTCTCCACGCACACGGATCGGTGCAGCGCAGCATGCCGCTTAAGATCGGTGGTGCGGCAGAGCCCTGCCACGTCATCGATCGTCGCTTCTGGTCTCCACCACGTCAGACCTCTGCCGCGCCACCATGCATGGCGCGGCACAGACATTTGGCCGCGTCAGGGCAATAGGCGCGGCCAAAAGTGTTAGTTTAAAAAAAACCGACAGTGTTAGATTTAAAATTAAATTCGAAAAAAGGTTAAAATTTAAAAAAATCCACTTGGCACATTGCATTTGATGGTGCCAATACAACATAGTGCAAAGAATAAAGCTGGAGTTACTTAGTTTATGGCTTGTTCTTTTATTTGTAGTACAGATTATTTTGCTATCTTTTGAGCAAATTATAGAGAACAAACTCAGTTCCACATATATTTGGTTCTCTCTTTATGAACAGAATGGTGTCCTCAAGAATAATTTTAGTCTATTGCCTCCAACGTACTTACCATTATATGGCTGTATGTCTCATTCTGCTTGTGCTCCTTTTTAAAGAACTTATATATATATTTAACAATCTGGTTATCCAGCCTTGGAAGTTCTGAAGTTACATTTTTCTTTCATGAAAAATATATTCTTGGATAATATCTCTGCACCTCCTTAGCCTTAACAATGAATATTGTTGTTAATCATTTTCTAATCCAGCTATTAACCTACGCGAAGGGCGCGCGCAACGTACTAGAGCTATTGCAATGTTGTTATAGTACCATGACTCCGATCCATTTGCTGCAGTTAAAGCAGTGGCTGCTGACAAGCGTTGTAGCAAAAGTGGCTAGTAATTGTAGTTGCCCCTGCTTTAGGGCGCGTTTAGTTCGCAAAAATTTATGTTTGGCTACCGTAGCACTTTTCGTTTGTATTTAGTAATTAGTGTATAATTATGGACTAATTAGATTCGAAAGTTTTGTCTCGCGATTTCTCACCCAACTGTGTAATTAGTTTTTTTCGGTCTACATTTAGTACTTCATGCATGTGCCGCAAGATTTGATGTGACACTTGGGGTGAAAATTTTTGGGAACTAAATAGGGCCTTAGTGTAGATGAATATGTGCTGTATTATTGTCCTAGTTTGTATGTCATACTCTCTCTTGTAAAACTACCATTTCATAGCCCAATTCTAATTTTATGTACGTTCGCTTGGAACGAACATTTCTTCACCCGTACTTGATTTAACGATGTATCTAATGATACTAATTATGCACCGTAAATATTAATATTTTATATATATACTTTGATTAAAGTTAAGTAAGTTTGACTTCTCGAGAAATAAAACATTTAAAATGGACGGAGGAAGTATCTATTCGTTTGGCTGATTAGCTAGATTACCTTAATTTCTGCGCTAGCAATGTGTTTTCTTTGCTGGCACGGATGAGCCAAATTGGCTCGTCTGTGGTAGCAAGATCTTGCTTGCCGCGCATGAGCCGGCAAGATTTTGCTTGGCCAGCTGACTCCTCGGTGGCGCACTACCGAGTACCGACTCGATAGTAGCGAGCGTAATCGCTGGCGTCATCGCGTCTCCTGATCTCTTGCGGTCTTGCCAAAAACCAAACAGCAACGAACTCGAGCGAAAAGTAAACAGAAGCATCTAGACGCGCGCGGGTGCTCGGGGCCTCGCTGAACAACAGGCAACAGCGATGCCGCACCTACCCTACCCGCCCGACTGACCGACTCCACTCCACTCCACTCAACAGCCACACCCGTATTTCCTTTATAAAAAAAACTAAAAAAACAGCCACACCCGCTGGCCGCGGCGCCGCGGCCCCCCTCCGGCTCTCCCAGCTCGTCTATTAAACGGGAACCACCCGGTGTGCCACTTTGCGTAGCGAGTTGGACGCAGAGAATCCCCAGGCAAACAAACCGGGTATAGTGGAGAGGAGACAGGAGAGGTCGAGGGGAAGGTTGGGTTCGGCTTCGGCGAGAGAGACCATGGCTCCGATGAAGCTGTACGGGGCGGTGCTGTCGTGGAACGTGACGAGGTGCGCGACGGCGCTGGAGGAGGCCGGCTCCGACTACGAGATCGTGCCCATCAACTTCGCCACCGCTGAGCACAAGAGCCCCGAGCACCTCGCCCGCAACGTACCGTACCCTTCTCGATCCCTATCCCGTTGTTGTTGTTGCTTTTTTCCCCCCGCAATGGAAATGCATCGGTCCGTTCCGTTCGCGTTCTGGTGGCGCCGCTGCAGTCGCTATCGTCGACGGTCGATCCGACTGCTTAGCCGCCCGTACGGGTTTCGTTTCACGGGGGACAAGGGGGGTTTTGGATTTATATAAGGCTGGGGTTTCGTGGAGGGAATCCAAAATTGACAAATCAGGGAATTTGTTTCATACTTTAAATGGTAAAATTACAAGATTATAAGAAATGGAAGCGTGAATTTTCTGTAGGTTGTTTCAGATCTGGGCTAAGCGTAGGAACCTGATGAGAACTGAACTACTGAAGTACTTCGCCACTTCCTCTACCTGCCATCCGGCCACACCCCTTCCACTACAATAAACCGTGTTCACCACCTGCCTGCGTCCTCCCTAATCCCTTCGACTACCCAAGGTCTGGGCCGCGCGGACTGGATTGAAGTTCTGTAACTCCATCTGGATGGGATTAGGTATTCAGTTAGTAGGATGTTGGGATAAATCCTAGGCCTGCTGTATGTGACCCATGGTTGTTCATGTGGTTTCTTCTGTTCAAGTGCAAACAAAACAGGTAACAGAGAAGGACCAGGGATGGCAACAATTTTTTTTGGATTTGGTCATAGTAAATTTTTGCAGAATTTTATGCAGGGATGGCTTGATACTCGTTGTAAGTTTACGTATGTTTCACCTTCCTGAAATTAAAATTGATGTGCGCAATAATAAGCCCATTGAAACTTTAACTGGCAAAGCATGCACAAATGTGAAACATTTGAATATTTGATTCTTGTATGCACCTGTCCTTACTCTTGATATGTATCTATTTCTCTGCAGCCGTTTGGTCAGGTTCCAGCTTTGCAAGATGGGGACTTGTACCTCTTCGGTATGACCCTATCTCTTGGGATCCTTTTTTCCATGGAAATAGGATAGTTGTTTTTAGTACATTGTTGCTGTGACTAATTCGCTTGTCGTTGGTACTGTTACCCATTTCATAACATGTGACATGGCTAGCGCCTCAATGTCCACTTAAATGATATCTCAGATTTTGCTACAAGCACATGTTTTTTAAGAGATTTTTTTTGACTAAAGGAAGCCATGATGTGCTTCATGGGGGCTACATATTTGACTTCGTTGCCATGTGCTTCATTTTTTTCACACTAGTTTGTCGTGTATGAAAGCCAAAGCTGAAAAGAACCTGACATTTGATTTGTAACCTTGTGCTGACGCATGGTGTGTGTATTGTTCCATATGAGTGAATTACTTTGGCAAACATGATGAGTTCAGTAAGCTTATTGAAGCAAACACATTTCACTCACTCATCAGGGCATGTAGCTTCCATGTGAAATCTAATCAAATGCAGAGACGGGATGTTTTTTTTTTCTTCTTATTTATTGCTTTCTGAGAAGTGTTAGACAGTCAAATGCTCGCATCATTTTGCATCTACTAATAATGTTGATTTCCTAATTTTATTCTTATTTAAACATTTTTCATCTGTGTGCTAGAATCACGCTCAATCTGCAAGTATGCTGCTCGCAAAAACAAACCAGAGCTGTTGAGGGAAGGAAACCTTGAGGAGTCAGCAATGGTGGATGTTTGGATGGAGGTGGAGGCAAATCAGTACACCTCTGTACTGAATCCCATCCTGTTCCAGGTCCTCATCAGTCCGATGCTTGGGGGAACCACCGACCAGAAAGTTGTCGATGAGAACCTTGAGAAGCTGAAGAAGGTGCTAGAGGTGTATGAGGCACGTCTGACCAAATCCAAGTATCTGGCTGGAGACTTCCTCAGCCTCGCTGACCTTAACCATGTATCTGTCACCCTCTGCCTGCTTGCCACGCCCTACGCATCTGTGCTCGACGCTTACCCGCATGTGAAGGCCTGGTGGTCTAGTCTGATGGAGAGGCCATCTGTCCAGAAGGTCGCTGCCATGATGAAGCCATCTGCTTGAAGCGGTTGCCCTATCAATCGGTGAATGGAATAAGCCAAGTTTGTTCTGGGTATTTGCTTGTTCAGTGATGTGTCTTCTACGTTGAAAGTCCAGTGCTTATGAGTGAGCATGCTTGTAATCAGGTCTTGAATTGTTCTGAAATGAGCATTCCCGTGCTCATCAGGTCTTGAATTGTTCTGAAATGAGCATTCCCGTGCTCATCTTGAGAATAAACCTTTGTGTTAAGGTTCCTCAGGATCTTGATGAGTTCTCGTTTGATGGTTGCTGCTGCAGTGTTCAGGCTCGATGTTATCATTGCAAATGCATGTGCATAGTCCAATGGACATCTTGTCTGGATGTCACGATCGATATGATGGCAGCCTGGATGTCACGATCGATATGCCCAGTATGTTACTACAGTACATGGAAGTAGACGGTAGACCGGGAGAAAAAGCTATGTCTTATCCCACGTCTGAAAACTGAAAATAATTGACGGATATGCCCATAAAAAGGGCAGTTGCTATGCAGAACTACATGGATGTAGACAGTAGACCGGGAGAAAAAGAGATGTCATATATCTCTACATCTGAAAACGGAAAATGGATGGAGTATGAGTTCAGAAGTCGAGGAGATGAGACAACTCACATGTGGCCTGTGGGTGTTGTCAGACTAGCATAAGTACAGTTCTAATGTTAAAAAAATCATATATATAAGATTGGGAGCGATGGAAGAGACAGTGGACGCTCGATTTTGCTCGTTTGTAGCCCACTGGGTATTATAGCTTGAAGCTCCTGTACCCAAATAGCAGCTCTCAGCCATGGCGCATGGCCGCCGGCATGGGAGAGGAGCAGATGTGTGCGTGAGGATGAAGACAAGAAGGCACGACTTGGGCCAGCGTGGCCCATGAAAGAATAGGTTACTTGGGCCAAAAAAAAAAAAAGTAAAGCCCATGTTCAGTTAAGAAAAAACAAGAAGCTACTGAGCCCTCAGACACGTGCAATTACATAATTGGTGAAACAGATACAAGGGTATGCTAGTCATTTCTAGTAACACCCTCCCTTTCAAAAATAGCTTACTATCTCCGTCTAAAATAAATGCACATATCACTTCTCGATGAGTCAATTTTTTAAAATTTAATTAGAAATGTAAAAAGTAGTAGTATCAACATTTGTATCTTCAAATGAATTTATGGTACAAGTATATTGCATGCTCAATCTAACGGTACTTATTATACATCATAAATAAAAGTGTCAGTGCAGAAAGTGACCAACACGTAAATATTTGTAATTTTGTTGTACGTTGTGATCGGAGGTGGCCTAGCATTCAATGACACATGGTTTATACTGGTTCAGGCAACGTGCCTACGTCCGGTTAGAGTCGGTCGGTGACTTTATTCCTAAGCCCAGGTGCTCGAAGTTTGCTATGGGGTTACAAACGGAAGGGAGATAGATGGGGGGTGCAAGCAGCCCGGTCGGACTCCGGACTAAAGGACCGAGAGTTATGGGAGCTCCGCTATGTGATAAGTGTTAGAGCGTGTGCTCGAGTGTTTGAACCTAGTGGTTCTGTTGTTGTGTGTGAGTGAACTGATCGATCTATCTATTGGGAGAGAGTGCATTCTCTTTTATAGATAAAGGGGATGGCCTTACAAGTGAGAGATGGAGAGTATACGTATGCCAAGTCTTGTTGCCCACGCCGTCGGGTACAAGATGATTGTAGACGTCCATAACACTGTTCATGTCAGATGTATGTGGGAGGTTGCGTCGTCTTCTTCTGGTATGGCAGACATCGGTGCCTGTCATACTTTTGATGCCGAGAGGCATGTAGGGGTTTTACCATGTTCGCTTGGTACGGTAAATGCCGATGCCCACAACACTGTTGATGCCTAAAAGCATGTAGGGGGAGCCTTACCGTGTTTGTCTGGTATGAAAGTTGATGGTGCCCACAACACTGTAGGAAAAATATCGGCGCCTACAACACTGCTTGGGAAGGTCGCAGGGTACTGTCCTGCAGGTGTACATGGTACGGTCCTTGGTATTGCGGTTGACTTGAGTGCCCTGCCTTACTTTCTCCATCTGTTTTCTGATCCTTACCGAGCGGCGTCCTCGGTCGGTTGGTCCCAGTCGGCTCTGATTGCGCCAGTTGGAGAAGAGCTATGAGCAGGGGTTCGGCGCATCCCCGGTCAGGGACACGGGTCGGAGTCGAAAGTGGTGTTTGGCGAGGCCTTCCAGTCGAAGAGGCCGCCCGGAGGCAGGCCGGAGTCGAAAGCGAGGCCCTCCGGTCAAAGAGGCGGGCCAGAGTCGGAGGCGGGCGCCATTCCTTCTCGGCCAGGCCTTCCGATCGGAGACTGGATCGCCCTTTTGTCCTATCGTTTAGGTATTTGGGGCGGCCCATGAGGTGCGCGTCGTTCGCGGCGTCACCTGCTAGGCTAAGCCTTTGCTTGGAAGCCGGTCCATGAGGGACCCCGGGTTTATGAACTCGATAGGAGCCCCCGATCCCCTGGATGATTCAGGTAGAATCGTCTGGGGGATTTTTGTCTTGATGGCAGGTGCGCACGAGCGCACCCGCGGGTGTAGCCCCTGAGCCCCCGGGTGATCCGGGTAGAATCGTCTGGGGGGTTTTCCGCGTTGCCAGCGGGGAAAGTTTTGTTTTGTCAGCGGGTGCGCACGAGCGCACCCGCGGGTGTAGCCCCCGAGCCCTCGGGTGATTCGGGCTGAATCGCCTGGGGGGTTTTGTCAGCGGGCAATTTAGGGATTGAGGTAGTTTTCAAGGATCGGGTGAGATAGAGCTCGTGGATCCTGGCGTCGGACGTTTTAGGGGTCGGGCGAGACGGAGCTCGCGGATCCTGACGTCGGGCACACGCGTCGGGCGCAGCCGAGGCAGTTTAGGGATCGGACGAGACGGAGCTCGCGGATCCTGGCGTCGTGAGCACGCGTCGGGTGTAACCGAGGTAGTTTAGGGATCGGGCGAGACGGAGCTCGTGGATCCTGGCATCGGGCGCACGCGTCGAGCACAGCCGAGGCAGTTTAGGGATCGGGCGAGACGGAGCTCGCAGATCCTGGCGTCGGGCGCAGCCAAGGCAGTTTAGGGATCGGGCCAGACGGAGCTCGTGGATCCTGGCGTCGGGCTCAGCCAAGGCAGATTAGGGATCGGGCCAGACGGATCTCGCGGATCCTGGTGTCGGGCGCAGCCGAGGCAGTTTTAGGGACGGGCGAGACGGAGTTTCGTGGATCCTGGCGTCGGATGTGTTGAGGCAGTTTTTAGGGATCGGGTGATACGGAGTCGCGGATCCTGGCGTCGGGCGCAGCCGAGGCAGTTTAGGGATCGGGCGAGATGGAGCTCGCGGATCCTGGCGTCGGACGTGCCAAGGCAGTTTTTAGGGATCGGGCGATACAGAGTCGCGTATCCTGGCGTCGGGCGCAGCCGAGGCAGTTTAGGTGTCTTGAGCCCCTGAGCCCTGTTGGGCTTGATATGGGTCGGTTGAGTTTTGTGCGTTACCCCATCCACGGTTTCTCGCAACCAGAGGGGCTAAGATAACGTCGCTTGCCTCGATGGCTCGGGCTCGAGTGACGCACTCGGTGAGCTCGCTAACGGGTATGATCGAGTGAAATCCGGGTCCGTCGTTCGTGATGGGCTTGGCATAGCCCTCATGTGACATTCCACTGCTCCTTAACTTGCAACCCGACAGATGCCTTGGTCGTTCCGGAGACCGACCCGGGTGGCCCGCTGGCCTCCCCTCGATGGAGATTCTGTGGGTTTGGCAGAGGTTAGGATCGAACGAGAAGGTTGAGATGACCCTATCTGCTTCGGGGCAGACTGGGCGAGGGCCGCTCAGGGCTCATCTGCGTTTTCTCCCTGGCTCTGTTTGACGCGAGGCGGCCTTGAGCCCTTCGTTGGTCGGCCTTTGAACCCTGATCGGTCGTTGCTCATGTTGAATAAGGCAACTGTCGCTTCGTGACGCAACACGGAGCGTTGTGATGCATTTTACCGCATATGTGATGCCTTGGATGTATGGAATGAATGAATGCGTGTATAGATATATGAATGATTATATAAAGAAATAGTGGGGGTTGGTAATGTTACCTTGATGACTCGAGTGACAGGGTTTGAGGAGCTCCAATCGGAAATGTCCGACCAGGATCCACGCTCGTCGTTCATGATGGAGTCGGCATGGCCCACATGGGGCATCCCTTTGCTCCTTACCTGTCTCTCGGTGTTTGCTTGAGCCGTCCGATCGACCCAGGAAGCCCGATAGTCTCTCCTGGGCGGAGATCCCATGGCTGGGCCTTTCCAAGTCCCGCCTAAGAAGGCGGGGGGCTGCCTGCGCATGGTGACGCTTTGGTTCTTGCGCCTGGCGTGCGGTAGTGGTGGGCCATACCCAGGCCACGTCCTGTCTGACCAGGCACCATTCCGTCGGGCAGGGTGCGTCCCATCGATCAGGGCGCGTCCTGTCGTTTCCCATCCGCATTGAATGGGGGGAGGGAGAGGGTTTCTTGCCCCAATCCTTTTGCCTTTCCTCAACTGCTCTCGCCTCTTCTTTAAATAGGGGAAGGGAGAAGGAAAGGAGAACTCACAGACCCATTCTTGATTCCGGAGCGCGATGTCGAGTTGGAGGTCCCCCAATGTAGATGAGATGGTGCTGGCCGCCTTCGCCGAGAAGGGGCTGGTTCTACCGAAGGAGGTGGCGCACTGGAGGGTGTCGTACGTTGCCAGCTTCATCACCATCTGCGAGACTTTCATCGGGATGGAGCCGCACGTGGACTCCTTCCGGCAAGTCTTCTCCGAGCGAGCCTTGTCAGAGAGGAAGATGCTCGGGACTGTGTCGGTGGGAGGTTTCACCCTTGCAGCTGCTTAGGTTGGCCAGTTCATAAAGTTTGATGAGATATCTTCCAGCCACGGTGGCCATACCTCGGCGGGCAACGTCCCTACCCAGGAGCTGCCTCAACTGCATGAGAAGGTCAGGAGCTCCATGTTCTTCTACTGAGCATCTATGGGTACGACGCCCTTGAGGTACCCGTTGCGCT